GGAAATATTTTCCTTCTGTTTCATCCACAACCTCTTGATTCTTTTGTTGTCATGAGAAAAGAGAGGACAAATATTTATATAGAAGAAGTATAGAAACAAAGGGAAGTATAGAGGAAGATGAAAGGATCCGGGAAGGACAATAGGTCGTATGTTTAAATTTATAATTATGTGCAATTAATTTACCCTTTCAACTTCCACACATCCATTTGTAACCGCAATCAACTATTATTAGCATATTAAACACGATCTTACTTGAAGTTRAAAAAAACATTAACTTCTTACCAAAAGTATCAAAGAAAATCAACTGAAAATAAAAGGGGCAAAATGGGGCATATCAAATAAACATTTATTCATAATAATTATAAGAAATTCAATAGTTGCATGTAAAATGACCAATTTGCCTCCAACTTAATATTAAAAAGTATAAGAAATGAAGGGTAAAAACGACAAAAAAAAGTTTCTCCAGATTGAAAGTTTAGGGTGCGTTTGGTTGGTAATTAGAGAACAAAGATTCAATTAAAATCAGAGTTGTATTCTTTGTTTTCAGTGTTTTCAGATATGTGTCTGGTAGTAGATTTGATAATTGAATCTCAATTTTAAAAATTGGTCAAGGCGTGTTTAGTAGTATATTTGTAAACTAGTAATTACACACTAAATATTTAGTTTAATCTAAAGTTATATTAATTAATTGATTAACATTTTTTATAAATTTTGTATAATTATTATTTACAACGTTATATAATTTAGAATACATTAGATTTTACATGTTTTAATTTTAACATTCATAAAATGAGTTTATAATATGAAATAATATATTTATCAAAGTTTTATCTTTTTTGATGTGATTCTCCAATCTTAAAAATTTTAAGTTATGAATCTGAAAACACTGATAACATAAAAAAAGTCGTTTTTGGAATTTCTATGTTTGGATCACAGAAATTCGAAAACGGTTTTCAAAAACAAAATTTCCGAATCCTGCCAAATGCATATTCACTGAATCAGCTGAAAACAAAAAATAGAATCCGAGTTTCCAACCAAACGAGGTCTTAGAAGACTTACTAGATATAATATAAAGTTTATGATCCTAGCAGTTAATTAGAATTAAACTAAACTCTCTTATTGGTCTGGGGTTTGTTTTTCTTCGAACGATAATTTTCATGAGTTCTGAAAAGTACTGTAATTAAGTAATAGTAACGTAATTAAAATACTATTTTGGTCCATGTACTTTCAGTTTTGGTTCATTTTAGTTATCGTACTTTCAACGTTGAGTCATTGTACTTTTAAAATGTTTGTATTTTGTCAAATGAGTTTTAAAAAGTGATCATTTTTTGTCTCACAATTTAACATGACATTATATTCAATATATTTCTCGAAATATAACTATTACTTATATTATAGGATTTATATGTTATCTATATAATTTGTGTTAAAATTTTACAAGTAAAATGGACGATATTTTAAAAATACAGATACTAAAAAAGTATAGAAACCGAAATAATATTTCGGATAAGTAACTTTTGAGATGTTAAACTACCTTGTCAAACATTACATGTTTTACGTCTCCTTATAAAGGTTCCTTATGCGTTTGGTGACTTTGTAATATACCCACCAAATATCAAAATTGTCTCTCACTCATCCCAAAATCTCTATTCTATTACRTTTTACTGTTTAAAAAATGTTGATTGAAAATGACACATTCTGTTTCTACTAATATTATATCCTTTTTTCTTATATGATCCATAAAATCCATGGTTGATCGGATTAATTTGTACCTACTTCGAAACAATTACTTAATCCTACTGTATTTAGTTATCAATATAACATGTCGGAATAATTTTGAACTCATTTCCTYCAGTATTATTTTTTAAATTATATAAAAGAACCATTTTCGAAATTATATACAAAATTCCGATTCATTGTTTCCATTCCATTGTCTCAAAATTTTCATCTTATTTTTTTTTTTTGGTAGATAAAAGGGGGAGAAACTTTTGATTTCCTTTGTTGCCTCTTTAATATGTATTATTTTAATAAACAATAATTAAGGTTATGAATTGGTTTAGTTTTAAATATTTTAACATTAGTTTATCAATTTAGGAGGGTAATGCAGGGTAGGATAAGATAAGCTATTGGATTGAAAGTTAATTTAATCAAGGAAAAACCCATTACCCCCCTCAAAAAGTATGAAATGAAATTGTTGTTAAGATACTTTTGAATTTTTTTTTTTTTTGTTATTGA